AGACCCAGGACTCTTCAATATCTTCATAAACGACTTAGATGAGGGAATAGAAGAGGAACTTATCAAATTTGCAGATGATATAGATAATCCCCGAGTTATGAGCGTTCACCTAATGCTCATTCAAAGATACATGATGAGCGCCCCCTAGTGCTTATAAGCAAGTCCCAAAGTTACAAATATTGTAGCACCACGGCAGTCATTCGCCCTTACAAGCAACCACAGTGGCATTGCAACATTCACCCTGGTTTTTTCCTCTCTCCCCACCCCTGCCCAGGTCTCCCTAGGCAGCAGGCCTTCAATATTCACCCTGTGAAGATCGAGATCCTTCACTTTCTTGGCTGCTCCAGGCCTTCGGTGCGTTTGCAGAGAATAGAGCCCTTAAGTAACACAAGATCACACAAGATCAGTGGGTTGAGATCTCATGCTACTGATCTCGCGTGATCTCACAGTATTTTAGGCCTCTGTTCTCTGCAACAGAGAATGGAACCGAAGCCGGGGATGCTTCCACGTGCCTCCAGAGGCCAGATCAAGGCTCTGGAGGCCTTTTCTAGGCTGCTGCCACCCAGATCTGAGGCCAGGGGGATGCTTCTGCAGCCCTCCGGACGCCTATATCTGGGCGGCGGCAGCCTGGAAAAGATCTCCAGAGCCCGGATTGGACTGCAGTGGGGGCACAGAAGTGTCCCCTGGCCTCAAATCTGGTCAGCAACGGCCTGGAAAAGGCCTCAGGAGCCCGGATCAGGCCACGAGAACACCGTGGGAGTGTCCCCTGGCCTCAGATCCAGGCGGCAGCAGGAACCGCAGCAGAGAGAAGATGGATCTTTTCCAGGTGAGTCCAGCATGACATGAAGGGAGAGGGAAGCATGAGGTATCTTAGTGGGTTGGGGAGGCCTTGGGGGCGTTCCATCACTAGGTCCTCCATGGCCTTCCCCACCCTGAGATACCTCATGTTCACTTAATGAGCTGCATACATCTTAACGAGCAAGAGAGTGATCTCATTCGAGGTACGAGATTCACTCTACGACTTTTCAAGTTACGAGTGGAATGGGCAGGCTCCATTACATTCATAACTCGAGAACTACTTGTACTAAGCTGGCAGGAATAGCCAACACCCTAGATCAGGGTTAGGCAACCTTGGCTCTTTTATGACTTGTGGACTTCAACTCCCAGAATTCCTGAGCCAGCATGGCTGGCTCAGGAATTCTGGGAGTTGAAGTCCACGACTCATAAAAGAGCCAAGGTTGCCTACCTCAGCCCTAGATGATAGGCTCAAGATTCATCTGGATCTTGACAGACTTGAACCCTGGGCCCTTATCTAACAAAATGAAATTTAATGTAGAGAAAAATAAAGTCCTATACTTAGGCAAGAAAAACCAAATGTACACATACAGATTGGGTGAAACCAGGCTTAATAGCAGTAACTGTGAGAGGGATCTTGGAGTCTTAGTGGACAATCAATTAAATATGAGCCAACAATGTGAGGCAGCTGGCAAAAAAGCCAATGCAATCCCCAAGTTGCATTAACAGAGGGATTCAATCAAGATCACGAGGTATTAATGGCACTCTATAAAGCCTTAGTAAGACCACACCTAGACCATACTGCAACCAGTTTTGGTCTCCACACTATCAAAAAGATGTTGAGACGCTAGAAAAAGTGCACAGAAGAGCAAAAAAAAATGATTAGGGGATTGGAGGCTAAAACATATGAAGAATGATTACAGGAACGGCATGGTTAGTCTAGTGAAGAGAAGGACCAGGGGAGGCATGATAGCAGCATTCCAGTATTTGAGGGGCTGTCACATAGAGGAGGGGGTCAACCTATTTTCCAAAGCACCTGAAGGCCAGACAAGGAAAAACGGAAGGAAACTGATCAAGGAGAGATTCAACCTAGAAATAAGGAGAAATTTTCTGACAGTGAGAACAATCAACCAATGGAACAGTTTGCCTTCAGATGTTGTGGGAGTTTCATCACTGGAAGCTTTCAAGAAGAGACTGAACACCATCTGTCAGAAATGGTGTAGGTTCTCCTGCTTGGGTGGGGGGTTGGACTAGATGACCTACCAGGTCCCTTCCAACTATTCTATTTCTCTATATTCTATTTTCTATTCTATTCATCAGAGCCAATAAGCTCATAAGCATCTCAGATCATTTCATAAAGTGTCACCCCAGTTACTTCCTTTGGCTCTGCGTTAAGATTTGAACAGGTACAAGTGATGGAATCAGTGCATTAGTTTCAGGATGATTCAAGTGCATTACATTTATTGTAAATTTTCTAAATAAACAAACAAATAAATAAAGCACTTTATTTCTATTATTGTATTAGATTAGACCAGTGACTTTCTGCTTCTAAGAAAGTGAGACGAGACCAGCCTAAACTCAGCCTTCCAGCAAAACAAATAAAAGACCCAGCAAGAGGGGAGAGGGGGAGAGAGAGAGAGAGAGAGAACCAACTTGGCACTGCACAAGCGCCCAGCAGTCTTGGAAGAGGTGCTTAAGGAGACACAGTGCTTAAGGGGAAATGTAGCTTCTCCCCTCCCCCTCCCCCATTCCAAGCCAGAGCTGCACGAAGAAAGGAGGAACACACACACACACACACACACACATACCCCAAATTAAACTTCAAAAAGCAGGCAGGATGTTGCCAAAACACGAGGCACCTGGAGCATCAAAATAAAAGCAAAAAACTCCAGTTGAAGTGCAATAGAGCCCAGCGGTCTTAGAAAATTCCAGACGAGAGAGAGAGAGAATCCCTTGGAGACACAGTGCTTAAGGTGAAAGGTAGCTTCTCCCTGCCCTTATTTGCACCCTGAGAAAGACGCCCTCACACACACATACCTTTGGGGGAGCCCCTGGTTGCAAGCTGGGTTGGCACGCATTTGTCTTACAAACTTGGAGAGTTGCACGAAGGGAGCACGAGCCCAGCTGAGGTGCCGGGAGGGGTAGAGGAGGAAAGTGAGGAAGAGAAGGAGGAAGAAGCAGCAGGAGGAGGAAGAGGGAGCAGGACCAGGAAGAGGAGGAGGAGGCAGAAGGAGAGATAGCAGAAGAAGCAGAAGGGAGAGAAGGAAACCAGTTGCAAGTGCGGCCATCAGAGGACCTTGCACTGAGCAAGATGGCTTCTGCCCTGCCACTCTCCCGCCCCTGCCCAGACCCCTGCAGACTTGCCATATTCCTGGAGATGGAAGACACACTTTCAGTGCACCTCCAGCTGCTCGGCCCAGTTCCTAAATGCCCGCAGCCCAGTAAGGATCCACGGACTGGGGGTTGGGGACCTCTGTCTTAGGGGCAGTCTCACCTATTGCACTTAAAAGTTGCATATTTCAGAGATCAATGAGTAATATAACTATTACTCATACATATAGGCATGCGTAGATCTATCTGGGAAAAAGCCCACAACTATTGAAAACTAAGCAGATCCATTCAATACCTCAGGTGCACAATCTTATCATATAAGAGGTAACAACTAACTGAAGGCTGATCAGAAAGTATCTATGACCAATAAGATGTTCCCCTTTCAAATCACATGACATCTGCTCCAATTAGACCCACTGTGTCCTCCATATAGGTTGAATCCAATACTATTGTGTAAAGTTCTGGTTATCTTTGAAGCTATGAATTCTGGAACCATTTCAAATTATATCCCTAGGCTTGGAGACTGAAGTCCACCACATCACGAAATCTAACAGCATCTTTACAATGAGATCAGGAAGTTAAGGTAAAGCTATTACTCTGGTGAATATATCATTCTACTTATCCCTGGAGACAGATCTCAAGAATAGTCACCCATATTCAGTTATCTGCAGAGCACAGTACATGGTAACAGCTAAAATCTCTCAAGAGATCACTGCCAACCACCCTTATTTTCCTTCTTTTCCTTTTTATCTTTTCCCTTCCTTTTATTTTTGCTTATTACTCCTTATAATAGTTAATTGGAAAAAAGAATGGGTATGTACGGTATGACATTTTCAGACTTTTTATATGATTTATAACAATCTCAAAGTTCATATCATATAAAATGTTGAATATACAAAATGCAGATAATTTTATGCTTTGTTTCTGACTTTGAACTACTGTGATCAAACAGTGAGTCTAAATCCAAGTGCCAATCTTTTAAGTAGGCAATGTGGTCCACAGACTAGATTAAGTTGGACATCTTCAATTAAATTTTATCCAGGTATGTATGTTTTACACCAACAATAGAAGCTGCAAAAAGCATTTCCCTTACCATCCCCTTATATTTTGGCACAGATTTTGCATATATGATCAGAAAATCAGACTCAACTGTTTTGTTCTTTTTGCAGTAAGCATATACAAGTTCTGAGAAATAATAATTTGGCCTGTAATTGCCACATGGGAAGGCTTTCTTAGTGAGCTAAGCTGAATCAGAAAAAGACCATGCAGAGAACAAGAGGAGTGGGATCTTTTTACTATTTGGGGGGCACGTGTACTATAGCTTTAACTTTTGCTCTCCTTTCCAATTACTAGTTGAGTGGGAAGAAAAAGGATCAGTCTGAATGGTGAGAGGAAGAATTAGCCTTTCTCACTGAGGAAGAGAATATACAGTACCATACTACATCCTTCCTTAATCTAGCAAACTCCAGACTTAGAGGACTCCACGAATGCATAACTTTGTTTTATGTGACAAAATGGCTTGTAACTAATATTTTTTGTCAATAGAACTGAAAGTATTTGTGAACATTTCTCTTCTGATCTGCTATTCCTTAATCTGTTTCAAATATGAGTATTCAGTTTATATCCAAATTGCCATGGCAAAGGGGGAGAAGAGCAAGTCCCACTGTAGTTTGATAATTAACTGAAAGTAATATTACATAATTTCAAAATGAAAGAATCGTGGCAAAATAAAAATAGTAAGAGGAAGAAAAAACAGGGATGCATCATTTTCATTAAAGGAATACAATGTAATACACATAAAGCAATTTTGATAAAAGAAAGTATAACATATAAAAATGTTTCCCTGATTTTGGGCAATTTATAAAATAACATACCCGTGGATTCCCCATGTTTAATTTCTTCAGCAGTCCGGTCTATGAGGACATACAGTGACCACACCACACAAGTGATAGCAATGATATGGAAAGTTACAGAGCACATGATCTTTCTTTGCTCGCTGCCTGTCATCTGCAGCTTCTCCCACTAAGAAGAAATCCAGAAAACAGAAGTATTCAATTCTATTCTCAGAGAACAAGTGATACTTGCTGTCTAGTCAGAAACCTTTATTTTATTGAATTTGATCCTGATGGCAGATGATCAAGCAAGCTAATGCAGCTTATATATGGATATGAGACACTGTTCTGTATTATATTAAACTCTTCATCAACCAATGGCATCTGAGGGCACTTGTGCCCTCTTAATCTCTCTGCAGATTTAAAACACGCTGATCCTGCTGTCTTTTAAATGTGCTTTGAAGAGCTGGCTCTTTCCTCAGATTGTAGGCTAAGATGGGATGGCAGTTCCCTATGCAAGGTTGTTATAGTTGATGTTTTGTTCTATTGGGATGATCCTTTCTTTTCTTTTGGCGCTTGTTTTACAGCTTTGTTTTCAATTTAGTTTATTACCCAAAGTCACCAATGATTTGTGCCAACTTTAGAAATGCAAATTAGAAATAAATAACTTAATATAGCAATGCAGAATTTAGTTAATTTGCATACATTTATTAATACAGAATTGCTTAAAGCTATCATGAAAAGCAGCTATCTACTAACTATAGTTAATATTCACTGTGATAAGATTACTTCTTATCAAATTGTTCCTTCATAAAATTAGAGGGAAAATTGAATATGATGCCACAAGATTCATTCTTGGGCTTTATACTCTTCAATACTTATTAACTTGGAAAGACGCTTATAAAGGTTGCAGAAGACATAACATTTGGTAGGTAAACTAGCTTATATTCTTGAAGATAAAATTCAAAACAATCTTGAGCACTAGAGAAATTAGAAACAAAATGATTTTAACAAAAAGAAATTCAAAAATTATGCACAGGAAAGAAAAAGGAATTTGTGGAGACTATTCTGTTTGATAATAGTGCTGAAGTGAGTGTAAGTCACCAGTAAAGTGTAGCCACCTTCATGTCTTTAAATGGAAGGCCATGGTATAAACTTAATAACAAGATAAATACAAAGTTATGCTATTATAAACAGAAGTACGGTTTTCAGATGATAGGAAATAAGTCCATAGTATTCTATACTGGTCAGTTGGCAATGCAAGTATTGTACCAAATTCTGGGCACTCTACTTTAAAAAGAATTCATATAAACTGGAACAACTCAAAGATAATGAAAATGATCAGGGGGAATCAAAATCTTATGATGAAATGTTAAACTGAAAACATTTAGCCTTGGAAAAAGAAATTGGGAAAAATAACTTCATTCATATGAAGAGAAATGATGACATGCAGAAACAATTTAGAAATTATCTTTTTTCATTCCTGCCTCAGGACATGAAATAGAAGATTTTCATTGCAAGAAGACTCTGACCCTGAAAAAAATATCTTAGCTATAATAACAGTCTAACAACTGTTAGCAACTACTATAAAAAATAGTGGGTGCTCTGTTTAAGCAAGGGCTAGAAGATTATCTCTCACAAATTATCTACATTAGGCTGGACCTGATGCCAAAATAGCTCTTTTCAATTTACCAATTGCTGCATCAGTGATGTGGCCAGTCATAAAATAGCTACCGTATTTATTGGAGGCAGTAGATATAACTGCTCTCAGAACTGTTTATTTTCCCCACAGTTGTTGCCACCCCAACTTGCTTCTTTCTTCTGGGCAGATGGTCATCTTTCCAATGAACAGAGATAATTATTATCTCTTATTTATGTTTTTTAAAAGAATATCCTTGGGACTCCAAATATGTTCTACTTTGCTTCACAATACACTGGTTTATTTATTTTTTAATGTGAAGATTCACAACAGCGCCTACTTCTATTGTAATCTAAAGTTTAAATGTATAAATAGCAGTAATCTGTGCTAAAGAGGACATTCATAATTATGTTTGACTCTACAGTATCATTCCAGGACCTACTTTTCTTAAAGGTTTCAATTTGGTCTCCATGATGAATTCATATTTGCAGAGTTCACAGCAACGGGTGTCTGAGCTCTTGATCCACTGCTGCAGACAAGCTTGATGGACAAAATTAAGGCTTCCTGTGCAATGACAGGGAGTAATTAATGGGCTCTCATCATCTCCTTCACAATGGCATATCCTATGACAAGAACATAGCAATTTATTAGGGAAAAGAAAGGACAACTATGGTCCAAACCAGAAAAATGTCTTGTTGAAGAAAGGCACAATATCAAAGAAGAATAAATGATCTGAGATCATGTGATCAGAGTCTGAAATAACTAAAATAATTGGTTATTTTAAATCATTATAATCTACAATAACCTGAAAATTGAATTTTCACATTTTAAAATGTTGATGGAAGGGAAATGTGTTTAAAATGTTTTCCTTGGAATCTCTAGGATAGCCATTTATAAACTTCCTGCCACAAAAGTAACAAGCAAGCAACAATCTCAGCTTGCTTAAGACTTTTCGCACAAATCTCTGGCACAGGTTTAGTGTAGCCATGATTCTATACTAAACCACAAATCCCCAGGACCAGAAATTTCAGAAAAAGTTAAATGGATAGTCAGGATTGTGGGATAGCACTTCTCACTATTGTATCAAATGTCCTGAATTACAACAAATTGTCCTGAATTAGCAACATTTTGGAAAATTCAGTGAGATGCATGGGTGGCCTTTGATAGAAGATTGTGGGTACAGGGGAAGTCCTTTTCTGTGGAAACTTTTATATCAGTACCGCTCTCTTTCTCTAGAACCTCAGAATTCTGGGAGATGATGGCATCTGCAGACAAGCAGGGTACCTGTCCTGGTTGAGGATTAACCTGAAACAGGAGAGGCTAGTTTTGGAAAAGAAAGAGATGTGCATAAAGGTGAAAAGACAATTAGGCACTGGAGAGTGCTTGGAACCAGGGAAGTTGAGTTCTGTTTCAGGGGCAAGCAACCCAGTTGTTCCAAGATGTGAAGCACTACATATTTCTCAGAGATAAGTAGTGTTTAAAAAGCTTGCAGGAAGAAAGAAAACACAACTCCCTTCCTCACTCTTAATACCCTTATTTCCTATACATAAAGTAAATGGAAAATATGTAGGAAACACATGATTAGCATGACAGGAAAAAATCCAAAATATTTGTATATTCAAAAAAAAGTCGACACGTTCAGAAGAAAATAAAGCTCAGTGTGAACTGAAGTGAATGAATGAGAAAATGAAGAGAGCAGAGCAAGTTACCATAGACTGAGAGGGGGCAGAGAAAATGATTTGGCATAAACCAACCTGCAGACATCTCCAGATACAGACACAGGGGAAAGTGGAGGGAAATTTTCTGACAGTTGGGAAGGGCAGTCTAGATCACTATCCTTTTCAGCTGAGCAGAGTGGTGCCCGCAGTGCTGTAATTTTCAGCCTCACAGAATTGTCCTCAAAGACATCATCATCTCCCATGTCATCTGAACAAAAACCTGTGCTCTCTGCCATACCACTGGATGATTTCTCTGGCCGGAGACAGGTTGACTTGTTATCCAGTTCATGACCGCTTGACCTGGAACTATGAGAGAAGGAGAAAAGGTACTGCAACAAATCTTTACTCTGGGAGATTTCATTGCCATACTTATCCTCCAGGAGAGGAATACGTACAGCACCATGAGTATCAGTAGCCAGAGAAGTGCTTGAGTAATTGGTCGAGAGTGACCAAAAATATGAAAGTCTGGAATTGCTAACAGTGAAGGGCCTGAAGCTGAATGGTTTCTTCTCCTTAGGACATACGTTAAGTCTTAAACACTGCTCTTGCATTTGGGTAAGTCTGCCTTCTGAACATGTTCGTTCCGCGTAGCTAAATCTGTCAATTGTACTCTGAGCCTTCTGATCCATATCACTGAGAGACTTGGAGAATTTCAGAGCATGGCTGGATTTTTCATTCTTAGACTTGAGAGCATAGACAAGTTCATGCCCATGGGAGTTGGCCTTGGAAATCTGCACCGTATTCTGACAGGTTACTGTCACAGTGGCCCCTGGAGTCAGAGCATTCTGGCAGACAAGATTTTTCAAGATAACAGCAGATTGCACTGGACTGGGATGACAACATTCAGAACACACTGCACTGGAACTGCATGCAGAACAATGGAATAAAAGCACAAAAAATTAAAAAGAGTACATACAATTGGTTGAAGAAATGACATTTTCAGCCAGTATGAGGAAGGCAAATAACAAACATAAAAAAATCCATGTGCCACAATGCATTACATGTCAATATCATTTAAACATGTGCATGTGCATATAGCATAGCTAAACAGGGTTTGTTGACCTATGTCAGTGATAGCGAACCTTTTAGAGACCGAGTGCCCAAACTGCAACCCAAAACCCACTTATGCATCGTTGGGTGCCGGGTGGGTGTGGCCCATTGGGTGGGCATGGCTGTGATGGTAACGGCAGACTGGGTGGGACTAAAAAGTTTAATCAATCAATTCCAACTTTGCAAGATCTTTTTTTTTCCCCGCAAGAAGTTAAAATTGACTGATTGATTGAACCTTTTTTTTTTTGTACACAGCGGCAAAGGCCTAAAGCAAAAAGGTTTTATAAAACCCAGCTGAAGGCCTAGGACTGGGGTGACGGCACGCGTGCCCACAGAGATGGCTCTGAGTGCCGCCTCTGGCACCCGAGCCATAGGTTTGCCACCACTGACCTGTGTGCTCTTTTCTAGCTACTATGGGCTCTTGAAAAAAAAAAAGACAGCTTATGAGAACCAGTTCTCACCACCATAGAATATGCTCCCCACACCCATGCCCCATTCCACCTCCATATTGGGAATTGGCACAATATCATTAAAGTAATGTATGTGTAGTCATCTGGTTTATTTTTATTTCTTGTAATATCAAGTATTTCCTGACCAAAGAGGTCTATATTTGTTGATGTGCAACTTAAGTACATTTGAAACATTATGTTTCAAACTCCAAATGAGATGTTCTAATTTTTGTGAGAAATGTTCTGATGATATTCCTTTTCGTTTGAGCTCAAAACACTTCTGCTATAGTTGGAACAGCTATTTAGAATCCAAAATGTTTTGTGGTGCAGTGGTTCAAGTGCTGGACTGATGGTGGAGATCCACATTCTAGTCCACTGTGGAAGTTCCCTGATCTTAGGCCAGGCATTCTCTCTCAGCTCATCTTACAGAGCTATTGTTATGGAAAAAACTAGGTATTGCACAAAAATCTAATATTATGATTTCTAATACATTTCAATACAGCAATTTGAAAACATAGGAAAAATGGCTACTTATTGGAAGACCAACTGTTATTCGCCCTGCAAGATTTCCTGGATCATCAGCTGTAAAATAACATAACTTCTGACACCCTGACTATCATCAGTTTTAGTGCAATGACACAGTTAATATTTCACCTGCAAATGTCCTGATTGGTTGGTATAGCAGATGCCTGAGAAAAGCCACAAAGAGCAGGAAAAGAGGTTGAATTAGAACGCTACAAAAACAATAACAAAAAAATGGTTTTATCAGGGAATCTGTAGTTAGCCCTCCCAATTTCAATAAAAAACAAGCCATTGCTCAAAAACATTTAAACTGCTCAAAAACATTTAAACTGGGGATGTTTATTTTGAACAGAATTCTGCCAATCATCTATAGAGGAAACAATTACAGTTGGTGGGTTTTTCCTAGGCAGTTTTTAAGTCTTGAAATGGCCCCTCTCCTGATGTGGCTGATCTCTTTAAGCTTCCAAATAATAATTATGCACAAAATACGTCTTTGATATAAAAACTACTTTTAACCACTTAAACCAATTGGCCTGCAGATTAGTTCCTTTGGACTCAATTGAACTCTCATCCTATTTAAGAATTATATGAAATAATTAAGTAGTTATCCAGGAACCAATATGTCATTTACAGCAGATTTTTCTCTCCACTTCAATGTACTTTAATTGTATTTTTTAATTTTTAGTAATTGAGTTTTTAAAAACGATTAGCTCTTAGAACACTCATTCAAGTTAAATGCCCCTGACTATCTGCAACTTTTCTTTCTATTGTTCCTATAGGCTGTTGCTTGTCACATGTTCTTGAAGGTGCAAGTAAGGAACTCAGGTGACCTTACCACAGTAGTGGCACAGCATCACTAGAATGGTACATAGCACAACAGAAATTGCAACCAGACTAAAATGAATCAGTCACCCATATTCCTGTTTCTGAAAGGAAATTGTCAGAAGCTAATTATCACTGCTTATACCTACATATAATACCACCCCCTCCCAATCAATGTGAATGGAAATACATGAATGGTTAATACGCAATACTCAAAAACTGCTGTCTTACTGACTCAAAAATTTCATGTTATGAATTTTTACACATTCTATATTATTTTTCCATTAAATTACTATTTACTTAATTACCACTGAGGCAAAAGTGATTGCTTTACGTCTGAGTGAGCTAACTCTGGGAATAAGAACTGCCACTCCTTACAAATAACTGCTGTTTAGAATGGGAGGCAAGACCTAGCAGAGTTATGAAAACTCCAATACTGGATTTCTGGACATGTGGATTCTAAATTGACCTCAATCCAATGAAGCAACATAGTTGGTGACAAGAGCACAATACAGGTAATCCCCGAGTTAAGAGCGTTCACTTAACACTCATTCAAAGTTACGTGATGAGTGCTCCCCAGTGCTTACAAGCAAGTAGCACCATGGCAGTCATTTGCCCTTACGAGCGACCGCAGTGGCTCTGCAACATTCACCCTGGTTATTCCCTCCCTCCCCACCCCCACCCCGGGTCTCCCTAGGGACCAAGCCTTCAATACTCACCCTGCAAAGATCGAGATCCTTCGCTTTCTTGGCTGTTCCAGGCCTTCCAGGTCAGAGAATGGAGGCCTAAAGTAACACAAGATCACGCAAGATCAGTGGGGCGAGATCCCACGCTACTGATCTCACGTGATCTCACGGTACTTTAGGCCTCTGTTCTCTGCAACAGAGAACAGAACTGAAGTTGGGGGACGCTTCCACGTGCCTCCGGAGGCTGGATCGGGGCTCCAGAGGCCTTTTCCAGGCCGCTGTAGCTCGGATCTAAGGCCGGGGGAGGCTTCCACACACCCCTCCCTCAGCCCAATCTGGGCTCCAGAGGCCTTTTCCAGGCCACTGTGGCTTGGATCTAAAGCCAGGGCAGGCTTCCACACATCCCGCGTGGCCCAATACGGGCTCCGGAAGCGTTCCTTGGCCTCAAATCCAGGTGGCAGCGGCCTGGAAAAGGCCTCCGGAGCCCGGATCGGGCCACGTGGGATGCACAGAAGCGTTCCCCGGCCTCAAATCCAGGCGGCAGAGGCCTGGAAAAGGTCTCTGGAGCCCAGATCAGGCCGCAGCGGGGGATCATGGAAGCGTCACCCAGCCTCAAATCTGGGCGGCAGTGGCCTGGAAAAAGTCTCTGGAGCCCAGATCGGGCCGTGCTAAAGCTTCCCCTGGCCTCAAATCCGGGTGGCAATGACCTGGAAAAGGCTTCCGAAGCCTGGATCGGAGGGCTGCGCAGAAACGTTCCCCGGCCTCAAATCCGGGGAGCAGCAGGAACCACGGCAGAGAGGATACGGATCTTTTCCAGGTGAGTCCGGAGCAGCAGGAAGGGAGGGGGAAGCATGCAGTATTTTAGTGAGTCGGGGAGGCCTTGGGGGTCTGTTCCAGCACTAGGCCCTCCATGGCCTTCCCCACCGATACCTTATGTTCGCTTAATAAGCCACATGCGTTTTAATGAGCAAGGGACTGATCTCATACATCAAACGAGATTCACTCTACGAGTTTTCTAGTTACATGTGGAATGGGCAGGCTCCATTACACTCGAAACTCGAGGACTACCTGTAGAACCAGCACAGGAGCAGAACCAGTCAAAAATAAGGAGGTCTATGCGGACAGAAGATAAATATTTATATATGTGATATAAATATGTAAAAATGGATATTTTTCAAGAATATTCTACGAGGTAGCAAGTTAGACTTATAAAAGTTTCCTGAGTCATAGAAAAAAATGAGAAGAACCCATGTGCAACCTAACCCAGACTAGACTGCAGAGTCTCTATTTCTCTAGTTCTTGATGCTTCAGCACACATCACTTTGATACTCATGTAAAAAACTGGCTATCTATAGATTAAACAATAAGAGATAAGGCAACTGCTAAATGAATATTTCTTGTTTTCTGTTAGCAATTAATAAAATCACATGGAAGATTATTCATCATCATATACTGTTTTTGTAGTCTACAGATCTCTTTTTGTAAGTGCTAAAAATTTAATATATCTATTTTTCTATCCCAGTATTCCCAAAAGACCTCTTGCACACAAAAATAGGCTGAAAATCTGTCTTCACCTTCCATGATTTCACTATCACTCCCCATGAGATTCTTAAGAGGACAAAAAAATATATAATTCCTGGCAATAAATATACTGGTTATTACTGATCAACTATTTGCTGAGAGGTTTCAAGGTTTTTTTTTCTAGTAATAGCTTAAATATTTTCTGAACTTCCTCTTGCAATAGGCTTCTTGAGGAATATAGAAAGTATTTATTTAAAAAGTCAAAACTCTTAGAGGAAAAATACAGGCAGTTCTATATGGAAACATTTTGATTGAAAAGTTATGCTTCTCCAATTCTCTTCAGATAAAGCTGAGACTCCTAATTGGGGAAAGAAATGACCATACCTGTTCTTTCCTCTTGGCTTTCTTCTTAGAAACTCTGGAAAAAGTAACATCTTGGGCTGGAATTACAGAGATTTGGTGCAATGGTATATTCATTACACCATAAATATAAGATTGGACCTCCTATATGCGTAAAATTCCTGATATGAGGTTCATTATCTATCTTTGCCAGGCCATACACCTAAAAATAATTTGAGAATTAGAGCAGTAAAAAGCAGAAAATAATCAGAAAATGTATAGCTTGGTGTATATTAGGTTACATTAATATGTATTAATAATGAACAAATGGAATCTTTATGCTGCAATGTGGAATGTTCATATTCCAGTTTTGCCACTCTGTACCATTTCCTTTTTTCTATAGATTTTTATTCTTCTCCAGTACACCAAAGAGCATCTTATAACCAGCAAGCAGATTAGTTTTTACAGGCAGAGGCCTTAGTTGTTTGTTCCTTTGCAAAATAAGCATATCGTTATCTTATGTTGTGTATACTGATTTATACACTGGGATTGGTGGTAGCAATACTTTTCCTGACTTAAAAACAAGGTCTAACCTTGTTTAGCAAACTGACATTATATGAAACTACCTTGCTCAAGTATGAATAATCCATGTTCCATAATCCTGAACAGGAAAGTACTTGGCAAACTGAGGACATCAAAATACATTAAATATTATATATATATATATATATATATATATAGAAAGAGAAAAGGTATACAGTTATTCATATTGAATATATAACTCCAGGTAGCTAATATCAAGTTCACAGCCAACAATATAAAAACCATTTTAACAGAATCAAGATATAATTAAAAATAATCAATACAAAAAGTACAAAGTTTAAATAAAACCATTTTGGCAGTAACAGCTTTCAGATACAACTTTCTCAAAATTACCCATCATCTCCGATAATGCATACTTTGGTGGCCATCACTTTCATTGTTTCCCTTACAATTTTATATTACCCCCATATTCAATTGGCCTTTTATCAGTGACGAGACTTTAAAGTATCAGGTAAATTGTCTGAAACAATAATTAAGAAGCTACCAACTTTATTTGGATTTTTAATGGACCTATATGTATGGAATCATAGAGGTGGTTAATTAGTCCAATCCTCTGCTCTGTGCAGAATCTGCTAATCAAATCTAAGTGGGCATCTTATATTTACAATTAAATATTGCTGTCAAATTATAAGTCCAATTAAATCTCTAAAATATTTCAGAAACAATCAGAAATATCTAAGTCCCTCCTAAACTGTAACAAGAGAACCAACTGGAGCCCTGATGGCAAATGATTCCATAGACTATGAAAAAAACATGTAATCAATAGTTGATAGAGTCAGATTGCACAGGCCATTTGCAAGACATGAAAGGTTTCCTACACATATAGTAAACATCTTGAATTAGGCCTAGAAAATACCTAATACCAGGTGTAGCTATTTTAACACAGAATGATAGTAGCATCTCTTGAGATACCAGTCACCATTTATGCTGCCTGCATACTGTATTGTGAGAGAGCCAGATTTAAATCCAAACTGGAAACCTTTTTCCAAACAGCAGCAGCTATCAGACCCAAGCCCAAGAATGACACAGTAAATCCAATCCTTTATTTGCTTGCATCTAATGGACTATAGAAACTTGCCATATTGAAACTATAACCTTCTAACCTACTCGAGATTCTAGGACAGTGACGGTGAACCTTTTAGAGACTGAGTGCCCAAAATCCACCCTGCCCCCCACCCGCCACCGCTCTGCCCCCTGCTCCGCCCCTGCCCTGCCTGCCCGCAGGGCCACCCGCCTCCACAGCCCGCCGCAACAGATGCCCAGGCGGCCCTGCAGCGCCATGGCAGCCACGCCCTCTGCCTGCACCCCGCAGCATCATCTCCGCGTGATGGGGCATGAGGGCGGAGTCTTGTCCTTGCTGCCCAGCTGCCATGTCCTTGGCTGCGCTGCTCCGCATGGGCTGTGCCTGGGGGCAACTCTCCTTTGGGAGGGCTGCTGGTGAGGAGGGGGACTCAGGCGACAGTGCGCGTGCCCACAGAGAGGACTCTGAGTGCCGCCCCTGGCATGCGTGTCATAGGTTCGCCACCACTGTTCTAGGATGTGATTACCCTAAACCTCTTTGTCCCCCCCCTCCAGCTCAGGACTGCAGAGTCTCTTAATTTGGGCTTCTCTCTGATGAAATTTACTGCCTCCTCCTAGAGAAAGTTCTGTACTGCCAAAATTCATCTCCACTGCTTTTCTAGGTGCCATTCCATCACAGAACCATTTTCCCCCCAAAAAGAACATTAGATTCTACAAAACTGGATAGCTTTGGGTTCTAAATACTTCAAATAAATAAAAATAGACCTTATATATCACATCAAAGCAACTCTGCTTTGCATAGCTAAGTAACTATGCTTTTGTTTCCTACACCTGCACAGAAGCTATTTTACTGGCTATCCAAGTGAAGAACAGGCCCTATTATGAAAATAAGTCACTTGGTAGTAAGAACCTGAATTTTAAAATACTATTCTGAATATATCCCCATAATTTGCTACATAACACCAATGTATTAAATATGTTTTTGATACTGCCCTTATAAGAAGTTCTAATCTTAAGATATTAGTTTTTAGATCAATAAAAGATTTTTTGTTGCACAAAAATGTATGGATGTATCTTCCCAGTAAGCACATTTCAGAATTTTCAGTCATCACTGGAAAATGATAGCATCAAAAGGATTTCTCATTTTTGTAAGTCAATTCAATGATATAGTTTGAAATAATTTCATGTTAAGTTTTAGATTTTGAGTTAAAGGATTACCCTTTGACGGTGTTCAATCATCCATAATACTTACTAAGAATCTATATCACTATGCTTTGTTTTTGTTTGTATTTTTAACATAACCTATGAAGATTGGGATATATCTTGCTCAGAGTCATTTGCAATGGATGCAGCCTTTAAGTCTAATGAATAAGCATATATACATACATTCTCCCCCATTCTCCCTTTTCAAGTAATTTTATCCCTTTAAGACAACTTCTGTATCATTGTATTACATAGATAGAAACTATTGAGCCCAGCACCCTATTATGTACAAAATCTAAATTAAAGTATCCGCAATAGATGTCTTCTCAGCATCTATCTAAAAAGATCCAACGAAGGGAATCCCACCACCTCCCTGGTAATTGTTTGCATTGTCAAACTGATCTTATTGTTAGGGGTGTTTCAGCATTCAGTTGAACTCTTCCCTTCTGTAACTTAAAACTTTTCCCATACCCTGATATCTGAACAAATATAAAACAGATCTTGCTTTTAAAATGAAGAATGCTATCACATCCCCCTTTGTCTTCTCAATATTAAATACAGTATTCAGTTTCTTCAGCCCTATGTTCATAGACCTTAGTTTTTTTTTCCTTCGTCATTATACACTGAGCTGTTCCCAATGGAGATTGTGAATGTCTTGGCTTATGGTTCCTCCTGCCATGTGTACTATACCTATTCCATTGCCATATATAGTAAGAAGCCATTGGCAGATGCTGGAAAACTAGAAATTTGTTAGTTTTAGATTTGCCCACCATTAAGATCAGCTTGCTCTTACACTAAGATCTTTTCAGTCCCAGACTGTCCAACAGAGATATCTTTCACATAAAAATAAGCAAGCTACTCAGCCAATCTACTTTATCTCTTTTTATATATAGCATATATTATTAATCCCACCTTTTATATATAACTTGGTAGCAATGGAGCCCTTTAGGGAATTTTCAATGCAGATAAAGAACACAGTGAAATCAGGTCCCCAATTTTCTGATCTATCAAGAAATATATTTAAATTGAAGCTTTTTTTTCCAACCTGTGAGCCAAATGTCAACAAATGCAACAGCACATCCCATTTATACTCCTCAGCAATTGTTTATAGGTCATCACAAACATTTGATATATATGGGTAAGGGAGATGAAAGAAGATGGGCCTCTTCAATCTTTCACAGGTCATTTTTTCCTTTCAACATGTGTGTATTAGAAGACTGAATCTACTTCACCTCAGAAAGGAGATGGGATAATTCTCTTTACAAGCAGTAGGCATCCATAATAGATAGCCCTCAAGTTTAAAGGTTCTTAAGCTAATGTTTTGCATTTGTTTACTAATTTTATGTTCAGATAACATTTTAGAATTCTGCCATTGAAAATTATTATTTCTCATGCTAATTTAAAGAAAATCTGCTTAACAAGATCATAACATATTTTGCTTACAACACTGGGGTTGGAGTGAAAAGAAGAATGTTAGCCCTGGGACTAAAACCACTGTTAAACCTAGTAGTACTACCAGTATATCTGAGAGTGCATCACAAAAGAAATATCTGGTTTAATAACAACCACTTCAGACCCAATAACGTCCAGTGGGACATGAACCACTGATGTTAGAAATACAAAAATAACACTCAAGCTAAAATAATGATTCCCAAACATGCAAAGAATAACTCTGGAGATGCAAGGATAGGTTCCAAGAACAAAATAACGGCCCTGCTAAGATCTCTATCTTGTGCACACATATTGGATATATATTAATGCTTTGATTATTATTTAGTTAGTATACATAACATTGGATTTTGTTGGCCAGACCGAAAATCCATTTAACCTGTTTGTATTTCTCTTGGCGTTTACCATATGCCGAAAAGTTCAAAATTTAGTTATTTTTCTACTGTGATTCCAAATCTTGGAAGAAACGTTTTCCGGTTCTTCGCTGTGAAAGGAACAGAAGCTACCGCTCCCTGTGCTTTCTAATACTGATTAACTTTCCTGGAGAAGCAAACCTTCCGTTCCAGCAAGATCACTACGGAGCGGTTTAAAAGACAGACTCCAGCAACAGCGAGACTCCTTCCAAAGATCCGCCTAGATCCCGCCGACAATGCTATTTTCCGGGTACACCCAAATTCCTTCCACTACTCTTTTTAGCACCGGGGGGGGGGGGAGAGAACATCGCTACTTTCTTCGTCCACTAACGCCTTCCCGCAGCTCCTCCCAATAATTCCCTTCCCCCAGGCTTACCCTACAATTACATAAGGGCAGCTGTAAATATCATGAATCATGGCCAGGAGTTGAGCGAGAGATAAAAAACAGACGAACGCGTCCCCTCCCTCCCTCCCCCCCTCCCCAACCACCTCGTCTCCAAAGCCGAGGAGCCGCCCTCCCTAACCAGAATGCGCGGCCACCTGTGGAATCCCGGGAGCAGCTCGCAACGGAAGAGAAGGAAAGCGCCACCTCTTGGGGCGTCAACTGGGTCCTGATTTGTCCATCGGACACAGGAAATTGATCACTGTTCTACTTCCGTCGCTGTCCTAAAACCGAGAGTCGTACGAATAATCTCCCTTTATTTTGTTTATCCGAAGCGGAAATGAAAGCGGAACGCCTTTGGGACGTTGCTTGAGATTAATTTGGACAGTGGAGCTCATGCTCAAAATTGCAGGCAATGACGCCTTTCTTCAAAAACATGACAAGCTGCCCAATACAGTATTCCAGGAGTTTCTTCAGACTGAATTGCCTGGGTTGCCGAGAGTGTTTCGCATCACAATGCGGTGCTTTTTGTTGAAGGGAAGAACGGAGAGAGCGTTTGCATAAAATGGAGATTGGAGGTCATGGTGCCATCAAGCAGACTGCTGGAAACATCGTTATACAGTACGATCAAATGTTTCACAGGGCCCTATCTCTTAAGGAATTGAAGTAGAAGAGAGGAGAAATAACGGGCCGCATTTGTGGACCCAGAGAGCACATTCAATCATAGAACATATGCTGTCCAAGGTGATAAAAATCATATACCTTCAAATGCAAAATTCAGGATAGAAAGAAGAATGATTGATATTTTCCAAATTAGAGTGTTCTGAAATAGGTTGATTGAACTGCTGGTTGGTACATTAGCTACTATACCACAGGGCTCGCATAGATAATGTGCATTTCTCTGAAATAAAATACAAAACAGAAAATGTATTTCTGTTCTGAAAGTAATAAAAAAAAATCAAGCCTAAACACAGCCCCGGCAATTTGTAGATTTTGCTTCTGTGAGCTGTGGTCTCATCAGCCTTGAGGATGCAGTAGTGACCAGAAATGCCTCCCTGAGAAACCAAGGGAAGTAGAAATAAATTTGCTTTTTTACCTTATCAGTGTCTGTAGGTTATCTTAGCAGAGTGTGAATCAGTACATCTTCATTAACAGTTTGATGTGAACATTAGACAGCTCTTTCCCTAACCATGTACATAAAAACTGGTTAATACTTTGAAACCTGTTCAACCATCACATTCTTCATAAAGTTGGACAGTTTTTCCCATAAGCATAATGAATGTCAAACATACTAGAGGAACATTCTCTGCTGAGTAACTAGGTAGTTCCCCAGTATTACAGATTGAAGGATATTGTATATGTTTAATGTATGAAGATGAAATTACTAGTTCATGAAATAACATGTAATTTTATGTAAAATTATGTCTTCGACAAAAGTAAAACATTTTCAGTTTAATATTTTAAAATATGCCTACTCTGAAGTAGACTTCTCCAACCTGATGTGATCCCATGTTTTGGCTATCCTTACTGGGAATATCAGAAGTGGCAATTCCAACACAAATGGAGAATGCCCGGTTGGAAAAGGCTACTCTGCAGTATCCGTGTATATTACACTTTTCAGCTATGTGTGTCATTTTCTCATTACTAATCAACTCTGGCTATTTCCCATTTTCTCATATTCTCAACAGTTTTTCACTGCTAGTCAGCACCAATTTTAAGACCCTTCTTCAAGTATTCTTAATAAATTAATTACGAATCATGACTATAAACCAAGATAAAGTCAATTCTGTCTCTGTAAAATTTTCTGTTATAGAGCTGTGACACATCACAGCATTATTTCCTTCTAAAGAGATCAATTTAATAAGTAACTGAAAAACATCAAAGCAGATCTATCTGAAGCACATTTGTAATGAAAGGTAGTGCAATGAGAGTAGGTAACAGAAGATAATCACTGCTCTGTAGGTATTTAACTAACAGCATATTTTATTTATCCAAAAAAGACATTTTTTTCTCCTCAGATAATTATTTGTGAATTAAAGATGTTAATGAGTGCTGTTGCAAGGGCATAAATTGGTAGATAAGGCAAGAAATGAAAGAAAGTAGCTACAAAGGAGAAAAGAAAGAAAGAAACTATGGTTTTTCCCAGAAATAGAAGAGTTTGCTATGCAAAACAAATGAAGAAATCAGGATGTTCAGTCTAAGGAGACTCTCTCTCCAGATATTAAGAAATATTTTAATGCAGATAATCTCCCTTTAGAAAGAGAAGGAAACAAGCATATTTTACAAAAGGAAAATTTTCATAACAAACACTGTATTTATAGACTTTTTATTTCTTTTGAAAATAGTTTCTGGTCACTATTTTCTTATTTATTTCTCTTTACAGTAAATAAGTGTGTACTTTAGAAATATAGAAAAACATTTAAGTCTGATAAAGTGCACATCCTGGATTCTTGATCTGTCAAACAGATGTACCTTCCTTGGCAATGCCTTCATTTTCTTCCTGAAACAGAATGAAAATTAAGTTACTGTACCTAGACAGTCTCAGAATTCTTTTCTAAGAATTACAGGAAAATGATTTTTTAAAAAGTCTTAAACCTGGAAGCAGGGGAGAGAATCCAAGAGCCCGATACAGGTTGCAACTCCATTATGAGGAAGAAATGTTGAGGCTACTATAAAACTACCTCTGCTATCTTTGAGACAATCGTAATAGGCTTGGACAAGAAGAAAGCATTTTTGGAGCATCATTGAGGCCGGGTCTCTTAGAGGTCAGTCAAGGCATAATTGCATTTATCACACAAAATCATCTGGGCTCCAGGTAAAAGGGCTGGAATATTTCTTTATTCCTTTCATAAACAGAAAGGGAGGGAAAGAAGAAAAAGTTCTACAAGTTGGAGGAAAAAAGGGGACTTATTTTTAGTTACTATTAATCTCCCCAAGACATGTCTAGTCTCATTTCAATTGGGTCATTTGTATTACTTCATTATTTTACTGTGTGTGCCTAATCAGAACTATTTATATGAAATTATTTTAGTTCTGTAACTGTTGATGTTAGTTTTGATGTAAACATAAATAATTGGCTCAGCATAAATGTTAGATGCCAACTTTGGGGAATGTTGAAAGGTCCTCACAACTGCACAAATTACAAGCCCATGTACACATATGTAACTAATTTTACAATTAAAATTGTTTTTCCTTTGATAGCTTATGAAAATGTTCATATAGAATGGTAGCTAGAGAAAGGGTACATATTATAAATTTGATTAGATCCCTCTTGAATTATTCTTAAGCCCTGCTTCAAGGGGATTGAACCAGATTTAAGTTAAGATTACAGAAGTAAAGGATTCAAATATAATTTTATTTCTCAGTATTTTTATAATACATCTTCATCCCATTATCATTACACAAAATGTTGAGGATGTAAGAAGAAAAACAGACCATAGACTATCTTGATCAATTACAGTTCTTTATTCCCTCTACTGTACAAAGAAAACCACTGATGGTATAAACTCCACCATTCAGGCCTCTTAATGTGGGTAAATGAACCTTGGTGTAATAAAAAAAGAAAACATTCAAGTACCCTGTTTTGAAGCTGTTCTTGTAATTTCATCACTGCTTCTCTTTCCTTGGACAGCTGTTCTTGGGTGACCTTCAAAAGCTCTTTTAGTTTGGTGGTTGCACATCCCAAATCCTTTGTTAACTTCTTTTCGTTATCCAATGTCTCCTACAATGGATGATAAAACTAGGTTTTATTCATGGGACAAAAAGAAGCTAAATATTTCCAAAACACTTGAATATGGGGACAAATTCTTGCATATCTGCCTAGTAATTATATAGATTTAGACATTTTACCTGAAGTTGGAGAATTTCCTTTTTTATATAAGCAGAGTCTTTCCTATCACATCTTAGTTTCTCCAATTCAACTTGCAAGCTGTACATCAAATCTTGAGTCTAAAGTTTCAAAATTATGAGAAGTTAATTCCAAGTACTTTGAAAATCAGGAATGACATTTTATGATCCTTCCTTCCTCCCTGCCTTCCTTCCGTCCTCCCTCCCTTCCTCCCTCCCAATTCCAGAATACCACTGACTAATGTACACTGAAAGTTAGATTTAGTAAATTGAAATTCTTATGTTTAACTATTTATTGTATGGTATGTATATAAAAACAAGAAAAAGATCGCTCCACTAATGAGAGATGATGGCAAGTATGTAACAGAGTGAGAAAGTGGAACTGCTTAATTTATTCTTTTGTCTTTACACAAAAGGAAAAAATATTTCAGCCTATCAAAAGCAGTACCATAAAAGACAGAATAGAAATACAAGTCAAAATAAGCAAATGGTAAGAAAACACCTATCAACTCTAGATGAATTCAAATACCAGGACCAGATGGATTATATCCCAGGGCTCTGAGGGAGCTGGCAAATGTGATCTCAGAATCACTGAATCATATTTTTCAAAGTTCCTGGAGCACTGAGGCACTACCGGGGGAATATAAAAGATCCAGGAAACTATAGACCAACCAGCATTAGATCAATACTGGGGAAGATCCTGGAAAAGATAATCAAGCAACATCTGTGAACATCTAGAAACAAGCAAAGCTATTGCTAGAAGCTAGCATGGGTTTGTCAAAAACAGAAAATGCCAAACAAACCCAATTGCCTTCTTTTACAAAGTAACCCAATGGATAAGGGAAATGCTGTGCAAATTGTTTACTTCAACTTCAGTAAGACATTTGACAAGTAGATCACAGCCTACTTCTTGGTAAGATAGAAAAATGTGGGACAGATAACATCAACAGAGCAGATGGATTCACAACTGGCTGACTAACTGCACCCAGCGGGTAGTCCTTAATAGAGCTATATCTAAATGGAGGGAAATATGCAGTGGGGTAGCTCAAGGTTCTGTCTAAAGCCCAGTATTCTTCAACATCTTCATAAATGATTTAGATGAGGAGCTAGAAGGGGAACTCATCAAATTTGCAGATGACACCAAGCTGGGGGAATAGTCAACACTTTAGAAGATACACTTAAGACAAGGATCTTGACAGACTTGAACACTGGGCCCTAAGAGTGGTGAAAAGTAAGGTAGTCAGACTTCCGGTTCCGGTTTGCAGCGCTGGCGGTCGTGTGGAGAGTCTTCTCTCTTCGCCGGCCGGTTTCCCTCCGCCGGTAGATCCTGGACAGGGTCGAAAGTCGCCATGGAGGGGCGACCACCGCTGAGGAAGACTCTCGTCGACTGCGGAGGGTGCGGCAGCACCTTCCGCGGTCCGAGGCAGCTCCTTTGGGCCGACGGGGAAAAGATCAGCCATTAACATGGCTGATCACTCAGCTGCACCAGGCGAAAGTCAGAATAACATCTAAGCATTAAAGAATCACCGCGGAAGATCCGGGTGAGACCTTTCCTTTCCTCTCTTTACCCTAACTATCTCCCTGTGAAAAGCCCTTGGAATTATTATTTCCCTACTTTGACAGAGCAGTGTTCGCTCGGGAAAACAAGCTTTGGATAATAGAAACTATAAATTAATTTGTACTGACTATTTCTATTTTTGGATACTCTGGGGTCCCAAAAAAATCCCTACTATTGAAAGTTACTATTTTATGTACCTATTAAACTGGACAATATTGGTTTTTTTTTGTTTTTTTTACTATTTTTACTCTTTTAATTGGATAAAACCTTAGGTAACTGGAAAAAGATTTTGTCTACTGGGGACATCTTGTGGCGAAAGTTGACATTACAATTGTACTTTCCTTTTGATTTTGAGGCTGGGTTTGACCTTCAAATTATCAAAAAAAGGGAAAAGATAAAGAATTTGAAACAGCTGTGTGGAGGTGGATATGGGCTGATTGTTATTAAACATAGCCTCCACTAAAAGACGAGGATTATTTCACCATGGAAATGGAGGAACCTTACCCACAGCTTGACTACAATCTCATATTGGAAAAAATCTTGGAAGTTACTGAGCAAATGCACTCTATGATGAAAACTAAAGATGATTTTCCAGAACTACAAACTGAGGAACAGATCAACATCAAAGAGGCCTGTGCCCAACATTATGTACAACACAATGAGACGGAGGAATCTTATTCACAACTTAACTATGAAAAAGCCCTTGCCCCAAAATTTCAAACTGATTTCCAGACTCCAACTGACTATTCTATAAGTCAAAAAATAACAGAAGAGGAATCTATCACCATCAAAGAGGATTTTACACAATCCTATGTACAGTCTACTGAATATCAGAACTATGATAACTTGGACAATCAACTAGCAACTACAACACTGGATAAAATTGATTACGCTATTCAGATGATAGTGGAAGAAGGAGAACAGAAATACGACCAGATTGAACTGATGATAAACATGTTTAACAAAACATTGACATTTGTTGATATAGAGGCTCTGTTATGGAAGCCTGCCTGGCACAAAAAGAAAGCCAGAGTTAGATTTAAAAATGGGATTTAAATCTTTACTTGATGGGTAAAAAAGGTTTTTTTAGAGATATGGACTGAATTAATACTAACTGAGATGAAAAGTAAAGGTTTTTGGACTGATTTAATGTTTAGGATTTAGATTTATAATTGAGATGAAATTATTGGTTAGATTATAGTTTGGAATTGTGAAATGAAAAAGGTTTTAAATGAGGAGCTATTAAGACAAGAAATAGAATATATGTGTGAAATAGTGTAAGAAGGTATTTTTGGGGGCGATAATATGTTTATTCTAGGTATGATAACCATTTTGTAATGGAATGAAAACAAGGAAATGGATTGTGACAATGGAAGATATGGTATTAGTGAATGAAGACTTATTAGAATAAGAATCAGAATATATTTTGGAAATGTAGAAGGTAACTGTTGGAATAAGTTGTTTATTTTAGATATTATAATTATTATGTTATGAAATGAGGGAAATTAGGGATACCCAAAGTGTAAAGAATATGTTTAATTAAGGCTAAATTGGAATATGGTAATTGGAATTTAGTAAAGCTTAAAAACAGGACTTGGACTTGTATAGGTAAAATGTTATTGATAAAATTTTATGGATTGATTGAATTTTATTCAGAAATGTATTAATTTGAATATGTTATATTAATGGAGGGAAATAGAGAGGGAATCTTTAAGGAGTTAATCTGACTTGTATATGTATGATTTTGACTTTGGATAATTGATTATCCCATCTCCACGTTGTTTCCTAAGCACTCTATTGTAAAAAATGAAAAAATTAATAAAACTTGTTATAAAAAAAGTAAGGTGGTCAGGTCCCAAACGGTTCCCTATTTTACTTACCTTTCTTCTGTCCTTCCGTTTTTGGGACCTGCCATTCTGTTGCGGGAGGGGGAAGCCCAGTGTTACTTGCATGTTTATATTTATTCTGTTTCCTTTCCTAATTGCCATGGGGAGGGTTATGGTAGCTCTCCGAAGATGATTGCGATGAGCCGGATGTCAGCAAAGCCAGGAAGTCACGTGCCAAAAGCAACAGCTGATCACCTTGAGACACTAGCTGATTGGACACAATTCAAATCCCCATGCAGCTTTGGTGGGAGGGGTTTTACAGCTGGATGACTATGCATTGTTAACAAACATTTACTTCAGACCTCGCCTTGATCCCCCACTGTTACTGATCCCCAAATAAAAGAATCCTGTTTGAAGCAGTGATTGCTCAAGAGTTCGAATTCTTGGGAGGACAGCTGAAGTGGGTCATTACAGAAGGCGAGGTCTACACGATGCTCAACCCAGAGACGCAACTGCGCTACCGGGGGAGCCGCAACTATTGCACATGTGGAGGAGCTCCCATCAGAGCAATGGTCCGGAGACCTCCAATGATCGAAGGGTGAAGAAGGCCTCTCCAGGGAGTTGGAAGAGGCTGGGCCGTCTGATGTAGGGGATCGAGCCAGGTGGTCCCTTGAAGTCGGTAAATCCGAAGGTTGGGAGGAGAAAGACTCCAATGTTATCCTGAACTGAGGGGGGAGGAGAAAGAAGAAGGGGTCCAGCCCTACCCCCCCCCCAGGACAGAAGGGGAAGGAGGAATCAAAATAGGAAATTATGGAGGCAGTAATGGAATACGTAAGGAGAGCCTTAGATGAATTCAAATTACAACTGGAGGAGGGCCGGAAATCTGAGGCAGAATCAGGGGGAGAAGAGTCAGAGGTTGAGGAATTGGCGACCAGAGAGGGAGGGACCACGGCAGCCCAGACAACAGCCCAATACTTGGGGTGTCAAATTCAGGCAGCTAGAGAGCGACCGCTTCAGCCAGCAGAAGCAAAAAATGCTCCCAATTGGGGCAAAAGTTGATGGGGACCCAAAGCGGCTGGGTTTCTTCCTTGCACGGGTGTTCACATATATGCAGATTTGCAGGGGAATGCTACCTACTGATGTGGAGGAAGTCCAGGTGGTCACGTTAGCCTTGGAAGGGGTAGCCGCTGACTGGATGGTCACCCTCTATAACTGTAACACACCTGAATTGCGGAATTTTAATCAGTTTATGACTCCACTCCGCAGATGTTTGAGGACCGACTAGCTGATAAAAAAAGCCCTAGAGTTTATAAAAGCAGTAAAGCAGGGCAGACGACCAGTAGCAGAGTATACAGAGGAGTTTAGAGAGTTAACTAGCCGCCTTCGTTGGCCAGAGGTAAGCTGCTTCCAGGATGGACTTAATGAGGACCTCTACAATGCCTGTGGAGCCCCAGGACGGTTATATGACTGGTGCCTGCTGGTGGAAGAGGTAGAAATTGATCAACGTAAGCACTTACACTGCCTGGTGAAGTTAAATTTCACCTCACACTCAAAAAAACGAAGGGAACCCACACGAGCACTGCCTATCTCACCCCGCGGCACTGCCTGTTTTAAATGTGGGAAAGAAGGGCATTGGGCCACAGAATGTCGGGCAAAGATACGTATAAGGAGGGGAGATTGTCAATCGGCTGGTAGACCCTCGTGAACCCCGCCACACCCTAAAGAGACTGTCATGAGGGCCGCCGAAGCCATCGACGTCTCTTGGCATCACAACCGAGAAGGTTGAGCTACTGCCCTGCGTTTCGAGGATCCCGGAGCTATGGAAGACGAGGAAGAGGACCCATTGGTGAGTGGGCCAATTGATCCAATAATGGTGCCCGTAAATCTGTCTATCCCCTGTACCGGAAGGACCGTGAAACTAGCTGCCTTACTAGACTCAGGCTGCACTCAGTGCATGATTGGCCCAGAACTAGTTAGGAAAATGGGAGTGCACCTTAGGAGACTAAAGACTCCGATCACATTTCACCAATTGGATGGTTCTGTCGCAGGGGGGATGCCTGCCAGCTTTGCCACTAGTCCCTTACACATCGACCTAGGAAACCACACAGAAACTCTAGCTTTTATTGTGGTCCCTGGAATGGAATGGCCACTAGTCTTGGAGTTAACATGGTTAAAAAATTGGAACCCCATGATGGATTGGAGGGAAGGGTAACTCAGATTCCAGAAAAAAGAGACCCTAAACCTCTGTAACAATCTTGACAAAGGGGGTGAAACGAAACCAGAGGCTACCGCGGTCCTTACTGATCCAGAGAGGCAAAGCCTTCCAATGGAGTACAGAGATTTGGCTGAGGCATTTAATGAGCAGAGGGCAGACAAACTTCCCCCTCATCGACCCACAGACTGCACGAATGAAATCATCCCAGGGGCGAAGTTACCAAAGCCAAAAATGTACTCTATAACCCCTAGGGAACTGGACAAATTAAAAATTTTATAGATAAGAATTTGGAGTGAGGGTTCATTGAGCCTACCAAACCTCGAGTGGCAGCCCACTCGACTTTCTGAGGAAAACAAAGATGGCTCTCTTCGTCTCTGCGTAGACTATAGAAGCCTCAATACAGTCTGCGTGGAAAATGTATATCCGTTACCGTGGATGAAGGGCATGCTAGCACACCTGTCGAAGGGCAGAATTTTCTCAAAGCTTGATTTAAGGGAAGCATACTACCGCATAAGAATTAGAGAAGGAGATGAGTGGAAGACCACATTTAATTGCCCCCTGGGATGCTTCCAATTTAGGATTCTCCCGTTCAGATTACAAGGCACACCTGCAGTTTTTATGCAGCTAACTAACGAGATCTTACGTAAACACCTCTATAAGAGAGTCTTAGTTTATCTAGATGATATCCTCATATATACAGAATCCCAAGACAAACACACTAAGCTAGTCAGGGCTATATTCGAGAAACTGCTCCGCTAAACTATGCTAAATTATCAAAATGTGAATTTCACAAAAGTCACATTGACTATTTGGGGTATCGCATATCGCACCAGGGAATAGAGATGGACCCAGAAAAGGTAAGAGCTGTATTAGACTGGGCTCCTCCTAAAACTCAAAAACAAATTCAAAGTTGTCTGGGGTTTGCGAACTTCTACAGGCAGTTTATTCCCTCATTCACACAAATCGCTCTTCCTATTACAAATTTATTAAAAACTAAAGGGGGGGTAAACCAAAGCCTAGCAAACCTATCAATTGGATGGGGGAGTGCCAAGCAGCATTTGAAAAACTAAAAAACCTTTTCTCTATGGAACCAGTGTCGAAGCACCCGGACCCAGAGCAACCTTTTATAATACAAGCAAATGCTAGTGACATAGTTGTGAGTGCTGTATTACTACAGACGAACAAAGGGGGAGAGTTACAACCGTGCGCTTACACCTCCAGAAAACTTTCAGAGACAGAGCAAAGGTGGGCATCCTGGGAGAAGGAAGCCTACGCAGTATGGTGGGCGTTGCTAATTTGGAGACATTTTCTTGATGGGAATAAAATACTGTTCCAAGTATGGACGGATCATTAAGAACCTAGAAGCAATGAAAACTCCTAGGAAACTTTCACCCAAGCAGGCAAAGTGGTCTCAATATTTTCACCGTTTTAATTTTACTATCCACTACCTACCTGGAGGGAAGGGTTTTTTAGCTGACACTCTTTCTAGGTTACCTCAAAATAACAGCAAGAAAGGTGAGATCACTAAACCCTTCTTATACCCTTACCAATTAGCGGCTCCTGTTACCACCAGGGCCCAATCAAAATTGAAAGTTCCGGTGAACGAAACTTTCACATAAATTCAAGTCAGCACTAGAAACTGATCAGTGGCATCGCAACCATAAAAATGTATGTAATATGAAGGATGGACTAGCATGGGTGGGGGAGAAAATCTATGTCCTGGCTGAAATGAGAATTAAGGTGATGCAGGCTGGACACAATTCAAAAATCCCCAGCCACTTTGGGTTCGTGAAAACATTACACTTGATTAAGAAACAATTTGGTGGCCAGCACTCAAAACAGATATTGAGAGTTACGTAGCCAGCTGCCCCAGGTGTGCAGCAGCGAAACGGCACCAAGGGAAGAGCCCAGGACTACTTCAACCGATAGCAAGCCCTTCAGCACCATGGAAAGAGATTTCCATGGACTTCATTGTGGAGCTACCCGAAAGTGCTGGTAACACGGTTATTTGAGTATAATGATACAGATCTAGTTGATACATATTTTTCAATCAAATGATGGAGAACTAAGTTCTGATCTATGATGCTTCTCCCCTTTCTAAACCTGGCTTGCTCTTCAGCAATCAAGTTCTCAAGATTCAGCCATTCCTTTAATTTATCTTTGAGATGTTTGGCATAGAGTTTGCTGATTATATTTAATAGACTTATTTGGTCTGTAATTGGCAGGGTCATCCCTTTTTATAAATTGGGACCACAATTGCCAAGCTCCAATTCTCTGGGACATGGCTATTGGAGTCAATACAGATGAAAAGCGCCACCAGGACTGGTATCCACCACTCCATATTGTTCTTTAGTAGTTCAGCAAAAATGAAGTCAGCTTCTGGAGGCTTCCTAGTCCTGAGTTGGCCAATGAGGGATTTAATTTCAGACTCTGAAACTGGAGGCCACTCAGATAAATCCATCATTGTATACTTTATTATCTTGTTGGAGAGGTCTTCATACATTCTCCGAAAGTGGACTTCCTAGGTTGTAGAAGGTATATGGGAGTCTAATGTGGTATAGATTCTTTCTGAGTGGCAAGCTATTAGATACCAGAATAAAGAATACTGTAGTTCTTTTGTTTTGCTGCCTCAATAAGCTGTTCCCAGGAAGACCTTGTGTCTTGTCTCTTCTTGAGTTCAATCAATTGCTTAAATTGTTTTTTGATTGTGAGTAGATGTTTAAGAGTTGTTTTATTGCCATTTCCAGTCTCACTTTTGTACACTTTATATGCCAAACTAAGAGCTTTCTTGGCTTCTACACAATCCTTATCAAACCATGGTTTGGAGGCAATGCAGGGCCTCTTAACTGAGAAGTTTCGGTCATGTGCTAGTAGTGGTTGTAGCTTATGAACTATGTTTTTATATAGCTCTAGTAAATCTTGAGTAGGGTTGGCTGATATAAAGGCTGAGCGGATTTTTTGAAAGTTGTCCTCTGATAGGGCTCTCCTCACCTTCTGGTCAAGTTGTTGGGTCCATTTGAGTAAAATATGATACCTAAGAATTCAATATGTCATTGACCTCTTGTAATTAAATTAAGTTTTGCTCAGTGCAGCAAAGTTGCCAAAAGTTATCAAGGCGAAGATACATTAGATAGATGCCTTCTTTTGCCAGCAAGTATTTTATATCTGTTGCTATAAAAACCTTTGTAAGGACATAAGCAGAAGTAAAATACAGTAATCTTCATGGTAACAAAATTGGACATTAATTTAAATGATATATCTTTTAATGGCTTCTCATGCAAATGGTTGAAAAAGGAAGAATTTCTGTGGCACCACAATGATAAAGCATGCATGCACACCACACATATTATACCTTTGCAAGGGCTTCTTCAGATACAGCCAGTTTCTCTTGCCACACCTGCTGTTCCTCTACCAACCGCTTCTGCAAGTCCTTGAGCATTCTTTCCTATGATTTTGAAGAAGAAATGAAGATGAAGAAACAAGACATTTACTAAGATAGGTTCATTCTATCATTGTTTGGGGACACATGTTAAGTAGGCTTGCTTACCAACTTTAGCAGAAATATTTTAACCAATTTGGGAACGTAGATACAATAAAAAATATATTTACTCCACTAATACAGAACATATAGTAGTAGATCATGTGTGTCCAGAAGAAAACAAGTTATTGGTAGATTTTTTACCCCGTCTTTTTTATATATAACTCAAGGCAGCAAATATACCTAATTCTCCTGCCTCTTAATTTCCTTGGAACAACAATCTTGTGAGGTAGATTGGGCTGAAAGACTGGCCCAAAGTCAGGGAGGCCTAAAACTCAACAGTCTTCTGATTTCTAGCCCACCATCTTGAATAATGCACCAAACTGGTACTCTGTGTGAATAGAACAGAACAGAATAGAATAGAACAGTGGACTACCGGTTTGCCATGGATGCTGGAAGGCGAGCTCCATCTTGCACATACGATTTTGCACTGCTGGGGGACCCTGGAAAGGGTCAAAAGTCGCCCTGTAAGGACGACAAGCAAGGAGGGGACACCCGCTTGATCGCAGGAGGGTGGTAGCCCTTCCGCTTGATCCAGGGCAGTCCTCCAAACCGGCGGACGAAAGACTAGCCATAGACTTCAGACAGCCGAAGTCAAACTTACCACCAGGCACTTATAAAGTAGCACGGATGAGACTGGGTGAGATCTGAACCTCTCTTCAATCCTATTTTTTCCACCTGTATAAGCTGCCCAAAGTATTTTCCCTCCTGTGGAGAGAGGGAAGGGAAATTCCATTCCACCCTCTAAAAACAGTGGCGATTGACTATCCAGGGGAGTTTAAAACGCTGAAAGAATAACCTGATTCTAACTGGATTTCTATCTTTCTAAAATTTGAGGACTAAAAGATTTCTTATTCTTATTGAAGATTTGGGTTTTTACTTACAAAAAACAAGTAAAATTGGAAAAAGAATTAAAATTTTGGACTTAAACGGTATGGGCGACATCTTGTGGCTAAACCTGATATTACAACTTGTTATTGTCTAAAAGAGACTTGGCTTGAAGTCCAGACTATAGATAAGACTTTTGCAACCTTGGCAGATATCAGCTGTGAGAAGCCCAGCTATGTTCTATACCCAGTGATAGAATTATTTTCATTCTCTGATTGTAAAGCTTTCAATTTAATACATCACTAAGAGAACATGGATGAAGATCAGGAACAGATTGTCTTTATGTTGAAAGCAATTTATGAAACTATTCTTACAGCTACTGATGAAATAAGAAGCTACAGAAAAGAACAAGGTGTTAGCCTAGATATACGAACCCAAACTTGGATTACAACTAAAGAATCAACTACACAGAATATAATAGAAGAAGTGGAACAATCAAATACTATGATAGAAGATTCAACTGATCAACAAACACAGTTAATGGAAAACCCAGAAAAGGGACTGACAACATTGAAAATGGAAAAGACTTTCTATATAAACCAGAAGAAACCTGAGGATCAAGAAGAACAACAGATTAAAGGGAAGATAAACTTTTCAGGACAATTACGTCGAGATGGAAAAATAGAGGGACGATTTGTTAGTTCTTCCAAAAAAATGGCAACTGGATGGCCTTTTTTATCTCAAACAATATATATAAAAAAAGAGGGAGATCTATTTGATGATTTAAAAGCATGGATATGGAAGGCGAGTTGGCAAAGAAAGAAAGCTAGAATAAGGCTGAAGAAAATTGGGGTTTTGACTTATTAGTGAGGATTAAAATAGAATATACTCAAATAGACAAGATGTGTACTTTGAATACTAGATTTTGTCATGAACTGAGATAAAGAAAACTTTGGTCATTTAAAACTTGGAATATAAATATTAAAAGTTAAATTTGAATATTGATTTGTTTATAAAGGTTGAATGTAAAAGTAATTAAGATATATATAAGTTAAAAATCTATTGATAAATGTAATAAACATGTTTTTATTTAGCTTATATAATAAGAACTGTACTAGCTTAAATATGAGATAGTAGACATTAAGAGAAAAAGAGACAAAGTATTTGATGTTGAAAAAAGATAAATTTTGGTTACTAAATTTAAGACATTTGGAAATTAATAGAAAATAAGAATGTTATACTATATTATTAATTAGATGATGTAAGATGGTGAGAAATAGAATATATTCAAATAGATAAGACGTATATCCTGAATATTAGACTTTGTGATGAATTATGATAAAGGGAACTTTGGCTACTTAAAACTTGGAAATTATAAATATTAAATGTTAAATTTAAACATTAATGGGAAACTAAAAATTGGGAAAAAGTAATTAGGACATTGATTGTCTATAAAGACTGAATGTTAAAATAATTTGGATATGTATAAGCTAAAAATTATTGATAAATGTAAGAATGTTATTTTTATTTATTTATTTAATTGATATAACAAGAATTGTATTAGTTTAAATATGAGACAGTAAATACTAAGGGGAAAAGAGAGGAAATATTTAATGTGGTAGTTTGAGATTGATACTAAAAGATACTTGTATGTCATTGAATTATTGATTAACTCAGCCGCCACGTTGCTTTTTAAATACTTAAATGTAAAATTAGAAAATCAATAAAACATTAAAAAATAGAATAGAACAGAACAGAACAGAATTTGGAAGGGACCTTGAAGGTCTTCTAGTCCAGTCCCTTGCTTGAGCAGGAGAACCTATACCAGGGGTCTGCAACCTTAAACACTCAAAGAATCACTTCTCCCAGAGAAAACACTGGGAGCCGCAAAACGTGTGCGCACACGCGCGCGTGAGGGGAGGAGCTTGATTTAAGAGTTTAATTAAAAAGAAATAGAGGCTGCTGTGCATGAGTTCTCTTTCTCTCTCTTTCCTCTTTCTCTTTCTCTTTCCTCTCCCTCTCTTTCTCTCTTTCTCTTTCCTCTCTCTCTCTCTTTCTCTCTCTCTTTCCTCTCCCCCCTCTTTTTCTTTCTCTTTCTCTCTCCCTCTCTCCCTCTCTCTCCTCTCCGTCTCTTTCCCCCTCTTTTTCTTTCCCCCTCTCTCTTTCTCTCTTTCTCTCTCTCCCTCTTTCTCTCTTTCTCTCCCTCTTTTTCTCTCTCCCTCTCTTTTTCTCTCTCCCTCTTTTTCTCCCTCTTTCTTTCCTCTCCCCCTCTTTCTTTCTCTTTCTCTCTTTCCTCTCCCCCTCTCTCTTTCTTTCTCTCTCTCTCTTTCCCTCCCTCTCTCTCTTTCTCTCTCCTCCCCTCTCCCTCTCTCCGATCTTCTGCTCACCTGGCAAGCTGGCTTCAAGCTGTTCTCCAATAAGCTGACACGCATTGTTATTGGGCTGGCTCTGTCCTGCCCTTCCTGCTTCCTGCAGAGACGCAGCCAAGGCAGGAGCCCCGCCCAATAAGCTTTTCAGCTCGTCGGAAAATAGGGAGAGAGAGAGAGAGAAAGAAAGAGAGAAGGGAAGCACAAGTGCCTCTCTCTGTCTCTGTCTCTGTCTCTCTCTCTGCAAATGGCAGAGGAGGATGGGAGCTGCAGGAGAAGGCTCAAAGAGCCACATGCGGCTCTGGAGCTGCAAGTTGCCGACCTGTGACCTACGCCATCTCAGACAAGTTATTTTCCAGTCTCTTCTTAAAAACCTCCAGTGATGGAGCGCCCACAATTTCTGAAGGCAAGCTGTTCCACTGGTTAATTGTCCTAACTGTCAGGAAGTTTCTCCTTAATTCCAGGTTGCTTCTCTCTTTGGTCAAATGTTAGGGAACTTCATCAGTGCTAATGGGAAATTAGAAACAATTTATTTGTTCAGATAGGCAAATGCAGTTTTGCTTACCGTCTCTGTGAGAATATTCCTATACTGATCACATTTTGCTTGTAGTGTGCGCAGTGCCTCATTTGTTTCTTTTAATGAAATTGTCAGGTCCTTTAAAAAGTGTGATAATACATCATTAAAAAAGTAACACAAACAAATTTAGAAAAACAATCATTTTAAGATTTATGCATAACAATTTTTTCCTTCTGGTTGCAAAAATGACATATAAGTAGAGATGAAAGGAATGGAGTTGGGAAAGTTGCTGTTCATACTGATTTATAGCTATTCCCTCATATGAAGTATGAATATCAAGGAAAATACTGTTATTTCATCCTCCCATTTAATATTTACAGTGCCTTTTGTTAATAAGTCAGTGGACTTTGCCTTCTAAAAGCAGTTTTCTTTTAAGTTTCATTGTTCTATGTAGAAAAATTCCTGGTGTTCTCAGTGATAATATTTGTTGTTGAAATATTATTTCTATTTCACTTGTATCTTCAGCATTGATGAACTAAAAAATGGGTAGAAATATTGCAGATACTGATAGAAGAGAATAGTTGTAGCTCAGGTTGAACTGTGGATCTTGGTGTTCTCTGAGCTTGGTTGTTTTCTTGCAGAGGTTTCATTACCAAATTGGCAACATCATCAGTGCTTAGTAGTGAGTGATGTAATTTCTGCTCAATCAAAAAGAAACAGAAAGCCCAAAACACTGCCTTACCAGCAATTAATACCTAGATGAGCAGAGATCAACACCAAGATTAACATTAGCCCAACAATCAAGAAGCAAATAATAATCAAGGAACTGCAAAACAGCTAACAATAAACAACAGCCCAATCAAGAAATCACCAAGACCACCCCCACCAACTTTTATATGCTGAAAGTGTATGTTATGATCAAGATTGTTTAGGCAGATGCAGGCTTCAATAAAGTCCTTTATTGCTCTGCTATCCCATGACAAATGGCCCTACAATGGCTGGTAAAGTTCTACCCCAAACTTTCCCAAAGGCAGCTACCCATAGTCAGTGCAACACAGTCCCACAAACTAAATCCAATATTCACCAGAGCTGATTTACAAGGGAGGGGGAAATCTGTAGCCCAAAAACAAGGTACCTCCCCACAGGTATGGCCCTTGCTATTTCTCTCCGAAGGCTCTTAAGCTTGGCCGGACACTTGGCAGTCATATGCCCTGGGCCCTTGCATACAAAAAAAGTTTTTTGTGGACTTCCAGTTTTGCGCAGTTATCGCAACAGTCGAGGGATTGTGGAGCTCCACACCCTACGGCTGATTTATCTCTGTTTGGGGACCCTCAATGGGCCAAAAGCCACCCGGAGATGTGGCAAAGAAGGAGAGAAGCCACGCCGAGCCTAGGGAGATGGTGGTCAATCCGGACATCCGGGGAAAGCTCTCCAGAAACCAACAGAAGAAAGGCTAGCATCATTCATGAGTCTAGCCCAAGCTACATGCAGCTGAAGCCAAAAAGCACTAAATTAAGCGATCGTAAACAGCGTGATTGAACTGGGTAAGAATATTGATTCTCTCTCTTCTATCTGATTTTCTGAAAAAAAAAGAAAAATCCCCAGAAGTAAAAATCTTCCAAAAGTGAGAGGGGGTGTCTTTGCTCCACCCTCTTCTAAACAGAAGTGGCAAATTAAATTTATGGTGAATAAAAATACACAGAAATAAAATTAATATAAGATTTAACCTTGGAAAAGGTGAAATTGATGGAATTTATTAAGAGTTTCCTGGCAAAAGATTATTGACAGAGATAAATGGCTTATTTGTTTTGAAAAGTGAAAGATGGACTGGTGCTGACATTTAGTGGTGGATGAAAATACTGCGTTAAATATACAGCCCAGGAAAAAAACTTGTTATTGTGACCTTCAAAGCTTTAACCAAACAAAGAACAGCTGTAATAAAAGAAAAGAAAACAATGTGGACTATCTCTATAAAAATTAGAAAAAAAATTTGACCTTTCTGGACTATAAATATTTTTTAAACTGTAACTTTAAAGCAATTGGCAGAGAAAGGATGTTTGGTCATTATGGAGCATCAGAGTCTGCAGAAAGAATATATCAAGAAAAAATAAATACTTTCCAGGAGGAAATGTATGTTATGTTACAACAAATACAAATGACATTAATTTCAAATCACGAGGAAATTAAAAATAAATTTGAAAATTTAAATGAATGCATTCTCAATTTAACGTCATAACAAATAAAGGATCAGAAAACAGAGAGAGAGAGAGAGATCATGTAAAGCAGAAAACTGAATATAACTTTAAGATGGAATTTAATAATGGAAGGATTCAGATGGATAAAAACTTCCAACAAATACTGGACATGGAAAAGACAACCTGCACATCAAGAATTTGAGAGTAAAAAGGTGATGGGAAAAACTAAGAGAGAAAGAAAGAAAGAAAATCTCTGAGGAATATCTTCACAAAAATACTTTAATTGACTTTGCTTTTGTACTGATAACAACATCTACGAAGCCATGAGAAGATCTTGGGATTCAACGGAACATACTGACTAGGAAAGATCTTTGGAAAAAAAAAAAAAGGGCTAAAGCCAGAATTAAGAAATTAGAAGATGGGATTTGTTTGATGGAATATTTAAAGATTAAACACTTGTTTGAATACGGTTAAAGAAATAAAATTTTGAATACAAGTGAATCTTAGCTTAGAAGGGGTAGGCTCCTTAAGCAACACAGTATTTTTTTCCCTATGATATGAGAAATATAAAAACGTGTGGGAAGATTTATATGAGGGAAATGTATTAAATATTTAAATATAATGGATTTTGAAGATTTGAATATGTTTAAAAAAATTGAAACATTGATTTCAATGGTATTTTAGTTTAAGAGGGATATGCTTTTTTTTAGATAGTATATTATTTTTGTCCTTTCTTTCTATTTCAAGATATGAAAAATGTAAGTGTTGGGATGGTTCATATGAGGAAAAAGGTTTTAATATATAAGTGTAATTAACTCTAAGAAAAATTTAACAAGTAAAAATGCTTTCTTTTGAATATTGTGGGGAAAATAAATTTAAATGAGAACTCTAATAACAGGATCTATGACAAGGTGATCTAGATGATTAATTAGAAAATAAGCTTTATAATGAAGTGGAGGATATTCGTAGACATGAAATTGTTGTTTTTCAAAAACATTACCAAGAAATGTTCTAATTTAAGGTTGATAAAAGAGAATATTATTGGAAGAAGAGAAAATCAAGGAAAATTACTATGTGGAATATAGAACTATAAAAATTAAATGTTATTATTTGTAAATACAAACCTAGACAACACACTGTTTACCAAATATTAATGGTGATATGAAAAAAAAACCTAATAATTTGTTTTAAGTCCTTTTTGGTGACACTGGTCTTTCTCAGCTTGAGAGTAGAACAGAACAGAGCTGGAAGGGACCTTAGAGGTCTTCTAGTCCAGCCCCCTGCTCAAGCAGGAGAACCTATACCATCTCAGACAAGTGACTGTCTAGCCCAGGGGTCTTCAAACTTGGCCCTTTTATGATTTGTGGACTTCAACTGCCAGAATTCCTCAGCCAGTGTGAAGTCCACAAGTCATAAAAGGGCCAAGTTTGAAGACCTCTGGTCTAGCCTCTTTTTAAAAATCTCCAGTGATGGAGCGCCCACGATTTCTGGAGGCAAACTATTCACTGGTTAATTGTCCTCACTGTCAGGAAGTTTCTCCTTAATTCCAGGTTGCTTCTCTCTTTGATCAGTTTCCAGCCATTGTTTCTTGTCCTGCAATCTGGTGCTTTGTGACAGCCCCTCAAATACTGGAAACTTTTATCATGTCTCCCCTATTTCTTCTTTTCTTTAGACTAGCCAAACCCAAGTCCTGCAGCCGTTCTTTGTATGTTTTAGTCTCCAGGCCTTTGATCATCTTAATTGCTCTTCTCTGAATTTTTTCCAAACTCTCAACATCTTTTTTTGATATGGTGACCAAAATTGGCTGCAGTATTCCAGGTGTAGTCTTACTAGGGTTTTATAAAGCGGTACTAATACCTCGCATGATTCTATGCCTCTGTTTATACAAACCAGGATTGTATTAGCTTTTTTGGCTGCTGCTGCACACTGCTGGCTCATGGTCAAGTGATCGTCCACTAGGACTCCAAGGTCCCTCTCACAGTTACTGTTTTTAAGAGAGAGGTGTGGACAGGTGGCCCTAAGCTGCATGGGTTCCTCAGAAGTATCAGGATCTTCTGGTTTCTTAGATGGCACCAGTGAGTCAGCAGTCCATTGTCTCACCCTGTGCTGCTGCTGATGACTGTCTATGCAGAAGTACAGACACATCAGGTCCTGGAGCATTAGGGGGCATTCTGTATGGGCCAATCTGTCTAGCAGCACCGTAGAGAAGCCTTCCTGGTACTGGTCCATCAAAGAGGCCTAGGACCATAAGGCGCCTACCCTTACCACGCCTCCTTCTCCTCGAGCCTCCCGCCTCTGCCCATTTGCCTCCAGCGTTCCTCCTCAGCTGGCCTGCCTCTGCCCATTCTCCCTGGCCAATGGGCCCCGCACCCTCCGCCTCGCGCTCTTTGGCCTGGCCCATTCGCCAAGGCCCCCTTTGTCCTGGGCTTTTGGCCCCACAGGACAGTTAGCTGCCAGCCAATCGGGTGGCAGGGAGAAGCCATAGTGCTGCAGGAGCAGTGTGCGATTGCCAATAGGAGATTGCAGGGGCTTGGGGGGGCTTCTGCCATTGAAGTGGGGGCATGTTGGGGTGCTAATTGGTTATCCCCCAAAGATTCCCTAACTTTAAAACAGCTCTTGGGTGGTGGTAGTAACCCAGCAAGAGGAGCTCAGGAGAAAGAGGTGCCGGCAATGCACCAAGAATGAGGGGCTCAGAGGCAGCTACAAGCATGGGGGGGCACAGAAAGGAAATCAAACCTGATTGACAGGGAGCATAGTAACCCTGCCCCTACTCAGAGGGCAGATCCCCATCATTCCTGGCCTGGCAGGGGTCTTCTTGCCCCACCGTGGCAGACAAAGGGGGGCTCCAGTGAAGAGGAGGAGGAAGAGGGTTTAAGCAAGCTTAGCAACTGGAGTGGGGATCCCCCTCCAAAACAAAGGTGCTTCATGGGTGACCTCCCAGCA